TATATTACCAGTTATTTCTATAACCCAGCCAATTAAACTATTTATTAGAGATTGATAATAATTTTTTTAGGTTAATAATGAGTCTACAATTACGTGAGTTGGAGAATTGGCTATCAGTTATTAAAATATAAAAGTTTAATGTTCTCAATATGAATATACTTGAAAACAAAACCAAAAATGATAATACTATATACAAGTAGCATGTAAAAATTTGCCAAATAGAATCACTAATCTACATGATACTATGATATATTTAATGAATTCCAAATTTCAAGCTCATAAGTTTTTTTTGGCTATTATGTATGCATAAATCTGTACTTTATGCTTAGATCCTTGGCTATGTCATTAAACAATCAACGACAATTTCAAAGAACATTGAAAAATATATAAGAAGAACCAAGTTGTATATGTAGCTTCCTACTTAAATTTGCAGGCTAAAACCTAAATTCTTTAATAATATATTTCTTAAAAACATTAATATGTTTTTGGATTTACCATAATGTAATTTAATTTCTAAGCATTATTTAGTTTTACATAATTAATGTAATTCAAGTAATTTATGAGCAATCCACATACTCATTTAGAATAAAACTACCTCTGCAGCACTTACTCTAATAAAAATCTGAAGTAGCTAAGAATTAGCCCCACACTTAGTGTTAATGGCGGTTTTTATTGACCCATCTTTAAGATTAATCCACTTTTCAATATCGCCAATAATTAATATATGCATCAACTATGAGGAGGCATGGTCCTACAGCCTAGAAACTACTAGGTTGTCCCTTGGGAATAAGTATGAGTTTGATAAAGTTGAGGTTTTATAGCAATAGGATTTTTGTTAAAAGACTTGATAACCAATCCATAGATGACTAAGTAATGTCAGTTTACTGCAAGCACCTATAACCAGTAAAAACACTAGTTCATTAAATACAAATACATAATCAAATAAAAGAGTGTACCTGCAGCCATTAGAGGAAGTGATGTTAATCTATCCACTAATGGAAGCCTTGCAAATTGAGTATAACACAAGGTTCCCAAGGGTGTAGGCAGTTGAGGCTGATCTTGGAATACTGGAAATTCAACCTCCAATCCCTCGATAGAATAAAGTGCGGATTGTAGTTTCTCAGTGAATGGTGTGATGCCCAGTTCATTAACAAGACTAAATATATTTTGGTAGGGATTCCAAAAACTTGTAATTGCATCAGCTCGTCGACCATCTAATCGGCACCTCAGTAGTCATCGACGTCCATGACACAATGCTTCTCTGAGGAATTTCATCGAACAAGATTCTTGCATAATTTAAACCCCCCACATTTTGAGTATATATAAATCAAAGCTGAAGACACAAAGAGATCTGATTCGAACCCAAAAACCAAAGCTTGTTGATGGACCTGTTTGCTCGAGTGAAGATCAAGAACAGCCGAGCATGCTTTAATCGTTCAAGAGAAAGTGAATCGATTAGGTTCGGTATTGAGCTTTCGCATCGACGAGAAAGCTTGAAGAGGCTCGAGTGAGTCGCCTCCGCGAGCCAACTCGGCTATGAGTTCGTTCTCCTGCTTATTAATTAGTTATTATCATCTCGGATCCCTCCCCCCGTTGCACAAAACATACACACACTCTCTCTCTCTATGTATTGGAAGAAGAATAACCGTTTTTGGATAAGTACAGCAAATCATAGATTATCTGTTAAAGTAATATGTTTGGATGTATATATTTATATATTACTTTTTTATATATTTTATTATTATATATTATCGCTATTAAAAGTTTTTAAATTAATTTTTTATGGATAAGTACAAGCAAATGCATAAAGATTATCTGTTAAAGTAATATGTTTGGATGTATATAATTTAATATATTACTTTTTTTATATATTTTATTATTATATATTATCGCTATTAAAAGTTTTTAAATTAATTTTTTATATGTATATTCTTAATATAGTATAAAAAAATGTCGTATATTCAGTAGCATAATAATTAAGTAAATTATAAATATAGAATTTAAATTTTGATTTAATTACATCTATTACTAAAAATTATAAATAGTTTTACACATATAGTTTGTACATATATATATTAATCTAATTTTATATGAATCTTTAACATTTAAATATGTTATAAAATAATCTATAATTTTTCTAATTAATAAGAAATTATTGTTCAATTATTAGCAAATATGATTAATCTCATAATTTAGAATGCAACATAAATTAATCAATACAAAGAAATTTTCATTAAAAAATTTGGATTGAATTTTGGATTGAATTTACGTAACTATATAGTATATATATATATAAATGGTTTGAGGTTTGGACTTTAAAAACATATATATATATATAATGGTTTGAGCGGTTTTGACTTTAAAACCGCAAACGGAACCAAAATTTTGGTTTTAAAATTTTATAAAATCAAATCAAACCATCAATCTTTTAAAATATCTTTTGAATCGGTTAAGAAGATTTAGGCATCTTGATAAACACCTCTGTGAGATAGAAACTGCCGCTATTTAAATTAAAAATACGGTTAAAAGATTAGAGAGAAAAGAGAAAAACTAGGACTAAGGTAACTAAAAAGAAGTTATAATAAGTTACATTAATAGGTTTAGTTTATATAAATTTTCTTTACCTAATCTATAAAGATACTACAACATGAAATATATAATACACAAATATTTACAATCAATGAAATTTTTTTAATAACCGGTTAACATAAAGATAAATATTATTTAAAAATTACTTAATAAAGGATCAATGCATAAGGTTTCTTAAAATAAGTAAAACTTTGAATACTGTACACAATAGTATATAAGGGATTATATTTTACTAAATATTTTATAATTAAGAATATTAATGTTATTTATAAGAATTCAATTTTCCTACTCTTAAAAAGTGAAAATACTTTCTTGGATTTTTCAAAGAAAGTAGAACTCCAGCCAACCAAACATCGAAATCTTACTTTACCAAATCAATTTTTCATGAAATTTCGGTAACTTATAATGTTTAAATCAAGTTTCTTTCTGTGTCTGCTAATTCTGCAGTGTATCTAATTATTGCCTTGTGAGTTGAATCCTTGTGCCCTTGTTCAGTGAGAGGCCATTGTGTTTTCTGATACTCCAAGGGAAGCTTTTTAATGGAAATGTCAAGGGCAAAAGTATATGGGCCCTCTCTCAGCCCAAGAAACTGGATCATTTGTAAGAAATTCGTAGCTCAAATCCAAACTTTTGGACTTAGTAAGCAACAAGGGAAATTAATAAATTAATCCTTGAGTTATAATCAAATTGGCACATGAGGACCTATAATTTCAAAACTAATTATGAAGTCCATAACTTATGATTCAGTTAATATGTTAATCCTTCCGTTTAGGCATGATCGGTTCAAGATTTTTAAAATATTGAACATGAACTAGACCTTGAAGCACCGGTTATGATCCGGTTTCAGTTCAGTCAATTTTGATCACGGTTTTCGATTATATATGTATTATTTTTCTAAAAAAATAAAAATTCGATTCTTATGCATCTTTTTTTAAAAAAATTAATGTGAATTTAAACAAAATATTGGTAAATTTATTTTAAATAACTTTTAGAATGCTCGTACTCATATAAACAATAAAATTAATTAATTTTATAAAATAATATAGCTCGTACTCATATAAACAATAAAATTAATTTAATTTTTTATAAAAATAATTAAATAAATTATCCATTTTATTTGTCTTAAATGTTATTAATTAAATAATTATATTTAAAAATTGCTTTCAAAACATTTAGTTTTGAAACTTAAGTAAAAATATTTAAAAGGAAAAAAATGTTTTAAACTCCCGAAACTCCCGTTTGTATTAAACAATATAATTATATACTAAATTTTATAAAATAGACTAAGTGATTATAATTTTAAAAATAAAAAAAAAATTTCGATTCGAATTGGTCTGAAACCGCCGATTCTGGACCAGTTCAGATTCAGAATTTAATATTCATATGAAACTTAACCGGCCATTGAATTGCTGATTCTAGTTCAACATTTTGAATTGATGGTTCGAGTCCGATTTCGGTTCATTAACAGTACAGTTTGGTTCTGGTTCAAACTGAACTAGTGGCCATGTCTACTTTAGTCCAAAATAGCTTATTTTAACTATTCATTGATTGAGAAATCGGCCCTTCAATTATGATCAAATTAACTATAAGATCTCTAACATATGATTTCTGTTAATATTTTGGTTATTCTCTTATGATTTTCATTAATATTTTGGTCCTTTTTTTGGATAAAAGGACTAAAGTGTTAATAAAATAATAATTTAGGAACTTCACAGTTAGATTTTTGAAATAGTTATCCTCATGTGTTAATTTGACTATAACTCAAGGACTAATATATTACTTTTCCAAGCAAAAATTATGCCAAAAAAAGAAGGTTATTTTTAAAGAATTGTTTAGATGACTAACCTTAAACAAGTACAAAGTACTTGATTTAACTTGATATTTGGAGTATAAACAGAGCAGTGAAAACCACTGCGTAAGGGAGGTTGAAGTGATTGAAGTCACAAATAGAATTTAACTTCACATGTTTAAGACAGTGAAATTTTTCATAATTTTCATTTCAAATTAATATATAGACAGTAAATTTTTCATTAGATTTTCATTTCAAATTAATATATATATATTATATATATATATAGTATATATAAATTATATATATAGTATAATATATACTATATATATTACTTAACAATGTACAGTTCAAAATTAGAATACATGGCAACAATGGAAAGATGCCAAAATTAGATAATTTCTTAATTACTAGGCTAAAAGTTGATCCCCAAATTTGGGGATAATTCGCTGAACTAGAAGACAAACTGTAAAATGGTATCATAAGAACATATAACAACAATTAATAATTATGATTCCATATGTTGACATTTTCCAACTTCTGATAAAGTAGCTTCTCTAAGCTTCCTTCTCATATATATATTACTTAACAATGTACAGTCAAAATTAGATACATGCAACAATGAAAGATGCAAAATTAGATATATTTCTTAATTACTAGGCTAAAAGTTGATCCCCCTAAATTTGGGGATTAATTCCTGAACTAGAAGACAAACTGTAAAATGGTATCATAGAACATATACAACAATTAATAATTATGATTCCATATGTTGGACATTCCAACTTCTGATAAGTAGCTCTCTAAGCTTCCTTCTCCTAAGCTTGGAGATCCATTAATAATGTTAGAATTGGCTTCAATCTTTGTAATTTGACTCAAAACAGCTTTGATTGTCTTTTTGTCACAAGAGAAGGTGTCTAAGTTGGAACAAGTCATAGGTAATTGTCCAAATGAACTTGTACTGCCCTTTGTGGACTCCATTTGGGTTATTTGTGGGAGAATTTGGCTTTCCGAGAAAATGGAGAAGCAGGGCACTTGCTCATAGTTTGGCTGAGTTTGGTCAAAAGTGATGTAAGAATCCATTAATGGTGGGAGAGATGAAGAGCTTGTCTCATCATAGCTAGCTTTGGCTATTGGTTCTCTGTTTTTGTAGAACACCCTGCACAAAACCCAATCCTCCTACATGCACCAATAATAAATAACATAAAAAGTCAGGGGTAATTTCTATATGTCAAAATATATAAATTTGAATAACTATATAACAAATAAATTGAATTAAAATTCAAATAATAATACGCCCTCCGTCTCAAAGAAATAATCTCACTTTCTATAACAGGTGTCCCAAAACAATAATTTAATTTCCATTTTTGGAAATGATCTTTTTATTAATTTTCCTATAATACCCTCATGATATAATTTATGCCAATAATTAATATATATAGAATTACTAAATATTTAATCGAATATAAATATAAAATAATTGAAATATGTGTCGAGATATTAATTTTTTATTGAAAAACTCTATAAATATTAATTAAAAAATTATTAATATAAGGGTATATATGAAAAAGAAAGATAAACGTTATGGTTGAACTAATTTAATTATCCATTCTTAATTTGTATGAAAAACAAATGAGACTATTTGTTGAGACGGATGGAGAAATAAAAGCCTTTTTCAATAATAAAAAAACCAATCCACGTTCAATGGTAACAAAATTTGATTTTTTTTTTTTTTGTTACTTTTTTTTATCTTTTAAATGAGGTGTATAATAAGTATATGGTTTCAAATAGTAAAACACATAGAATTTATGTATAAATTATTCTATTTAATCCGATGATAAATAGATATATGATTTGAAGAAAGTCTCAAATACAGTTCTTTCTTTTTCAATACTCAAAATAAAAAAAAAAAATAGTAAAATGCACCTTTGATGTCAAAATATGTTTGGACAAATAAAAAAAAAATAATCAATTAAATAAATATTCAAATAGAAAATCCTCATTGAGTACTAATTAATATAATTGGATATGTTTTGATTTCTCATATCTTAGTCTTTGGTCCTTTATCACATAATCAATGTCTCATTAGTAAAGTCAAACCTATAGATGGTGATATTATTAATTTCACATTCTATAAATCTGCCAAATAGTACATTTATTATGCATGACAGCTTATAAATAAACAGTAAGCTTGCATAAGATTTTAATTATAAAATAAAAAAAATATACATCATCCTAGTATAACTACTCTAGCATATTTGTCCTGACTAGTGAAAATTAAAAAAAATAATAATAAAATAAAAAGAAGACAAAAGAGAAACATCAAAAGTCAAAGAATTGGAAATGAAAAATGAAAAAAAAAAGTATATCAAAATGCAAGATGCTCCATGATTCTTGCAAAAATAAAAGGAAGACACAGTACAATTTGAAAATGATAGTTTTGTCAAAATTGGATAAAAAAAAAGAACTTGTAGCCAAATGATAAATAAAATAAGTTACAATCATCACTTTAAAATAGGAAAATATTCCTTTTGTTTAGCTACATATTATAGGCTAGTGTTAGAGAAGAAAAAATTAATACAAAAGTTTGATTTTTTTTTATTTTTACTATTTAATTTATTGTCACTATATTTGATTTATTTAAATACAAACTATCCATCTTAGATAACAGAAATTGTAAGAATGGAAAAAGAAGAAATGGTAAGAAAAGAAAAAATATATATGACATAAAGATGAGTTCATTGGCCCCAAAAGCATAATTTTACCCATAAATTTCATTCATCAAATAATTTTTAATTAATAATTAGGAGCACACTTTAGGTGTTGGTCTTAATATAAAATGTCAAATGATAATTAAGAAATAAGTAAATAAATAATAACAAGGAGTTTTTCATAATTGAAAAAGAAAGATTACCTTATAAGGGGAAATATTGGGAGGAGCAAGAGTAGCCTCAACGCGAAACTCATGCATGACCCAATCAGTTTTTCTTCCTTTAGGAGCCCTGCCTTGATAGAAGACTAAGGTCTTCCTCATGCCAACAAGGGTGTCCTTGCGAAGGATAGGACGGTCCTTTCCCGTGGCTTTCCAGTACCCAGATGCTGTTGCTCGATTTGTTCTTACTCCAGTTGCATACTTTCTATCGCGCTGGCTATAAAAATACCATTCCTTTCCTCCCACACATGCTGTTTCTGCACACGTTAGTGGTAATATTTACTTAATATCTCCTAACATATTTGATGTAGTCTATATCTCTTAACATAAATTATTCTAATTAGAGTATAATAAGATAAAATTACATGAATTAATTACGTAATTAAAGAAAATAAGATTTTTTGATCAAACAAAAGAATGTTAGAATAAGAAATAAGTATATATTTTTTTAAAATTTATAATTGAATAGAGATTCCTTTTTTCCTTTCTAATATTTCTGCAATAGTATTTAATTGCAAAAAAATTAAAGATAAAGCCATCATGTCAGTGTCAAAGAGGTTAATTATCGAAAAGTAAATGAAAGGAGACTTATCTAGAGCCAACACGTGTACGAATAAATAAAGACTCATAAATCTTGTCTAATATTGCTGACCACAACGCAGCTCTGATGTGGTTGAGAGGTCAGTATCTGTCTATTAATGGAGAATTATTGAGGGTAATAGTGCCCTTTGCAAAGAAATAAATAACTTCTTGCTGACGCATGTTGCACGGTGGATGTACAGCTGACCAGTTCATTAAATACCCGATTTGGTTTTATAAATTCAGTGGTTTAAAATTTTTAAAATAATAAATTTAAACTGATTAAATATCTGTTGTATCGAACGGACAGTTTTAAATAAAAGGATTTGAAATTGAAATAAATTTTGATTGGATTTTGTTTTGAACTTTTTAATCCTTATTTTTTTTATTAAATGAAAATTATTTTTCTTATTCCTGAATTGATCTTGAAATCTGGAAGGGAAACCAATTCAAAACCCTCCTAATTCAATTTAATTTGGAAATAAATTATCAAAATTATTTTAGTTTAGTTTTAATCCGAATCGAATATTAAAATTAAATATTGTGATGGAATCTTTTATTTTCACACCAAGTGAATACAAATAATTTTGATTGAAATTGAAAATTAGAAATATGTAAACAAGTCCAGAAAGAGGGTTAATTTAGATTTTTTTTTTTATCTCTTTAGAGTTACTAATGGGTTTGGTAAGCAACATAAAAAAAAAAAAGATTAAATTCAAAAAAATTCAATGTGACAGTTATGCACACACACGTGTGGCGGGCATAAGGAGTGTGTAAGCTATTTATGACTTCCATTTTATCCCAATCGCTTTCACAACTTTTGGTTAGGAAAATGCCAAGAGTTTGTCAATTTCTTAGAAAGGAACTCTGACTCTGAAATATTTTACATTTTAAATTATTATTATTTTTTGTATAAAAAATCATTATGATGATATGTCAGTTATTTACATCGTCTTTTGTTAGTAAAATTTTCCCTAAAACATCAAGTATTATTTGCTCATAATATTATTTTTTAAACATATAGTATTATCAAACGCTAAATGCAATGACTCCATAATTTAGCAAAGAAAAAATAAATAAACAAAAATAAATATTAAATTTATAACAGTATAATTTTTCCAATTAATGTAAAATAAATATATATATATATTCGTTTAGGTTTGACTCGAACAAAATGGATAAAAGCTATATATATAAAACAAGTTGTCTTGAGTAGAACATACCAGAATTATCAAAAGATTGGAAGAGATTTTCTTATTAATAAAATTATTGGCATCAGCTTTTTTGTCAACCACAAGACTGCATTAATATTTAGTTATATACTATATTTGTATCCAATCCAGTAGCTATCACCTCAACCTTAGCCAAATAGGGAAGACCAAAAATAAATAAATAAATAAATCTGTTAATGACACAAATATCCTTATATACAGTTAAAGATGAAAACTATCACTATTCCAAATAGTTAACGTTGAGGCTACGAGACTCAAATATTTCAAATTTGATTGTAATATTTAATAAAAACAAAAAAAAAAATGTTTCGTTTAAAATTATTTACATATTGCAAAATCAAAACTTCCAGTGAAAGAAGGAGATGATAGCTTCGTTATTATTGATGTGTTCGACTTATTCTAATATAATTCTGAATTCTAACTGTTAATTATAAACTCAATCGTTATTATATAAGTTGGAATCTATAATTGCAGAGTCAAAGTAAAACTCACCAGGAATATCCCAAGGTTCACACTTGTTGAGGTCAACTTCTATCAAAAGAAGAGAATCAGAATGAGTAATCTTCTTCATCAAGTAATCACATACAAGTTCTTCATCTTTTGGATGGAATCTAAATCCTGGCGGCAATTTTGATTCCACCATGCTTATGTTGGTCATTTTTCTCTACCTTTTCTTTCTTTCTTTCAGTACAAAAATAACAGCAAAAAGAAAGACTAAAAGAGAGAGATAGAGAGAGAGAGAGAGAGAGAGAGAGACAAAGGTAGAAGAAAGTAAGAAGAGAGAGAGACAATGAAGCATGAAACCTGGAGGAGGCCAAGTTAAGGGCAGTATATAAAAGAGTAAAGTCAACTGTACAGCCCAGTTATTCAGAGTAAAAACGAAAGGCAGATGGGTTTTTGCCTATGTGTTATGTGACGTGGCTAGATTGGTCCATGCCAAACTAATGACGTGTACACCTAATTTTTATGTTAAAAAAATGAATTTTTTCATTTGTTAAAAATCTATGCCAAAATAATAGTGCAGACTATACGATATAGGCCACTCTTCTCTTGGCTCACAAAATTAGTAAAAATAATTATGATTTAAAATACTCAAATTTGAGACATTTTACTCCTTATATAAATGAGATAACCAATCAAACCACTATCTGATTCGCGTACACCTAATTTTTTTTTAGTTTTTTTATTTTATTTTATTTGAGTCATTAGTTATTAATTAATTAATTATAATGTGTAAGTGCAAATTAATAATTTAAGATAAGTTGGCCCCACACCTAGCCAAAACAATGTGATGACGTTTTGATTGAAAAACAGGTGGTTTCCACACTCTTGATTTGGAAATCCATTATTGTGAAAGTTCCCAATAAAGTTAAATTCATCTTTGCTTGTAAATTGTAATTGGCAGAAATATCGACCAAACACATTATAGGAGAGTAATAAAACAATATAATTGGTTTAAATTACCTGTGCATGAGTAGGCAAGTAATCCTTAAGGAATATATCTTGTAAAAATTGTAATGGCAGAAATATCGACCAAAACACATTATAGGAGAGTAATAAAACATATAATTGGTTTAAATTACCTGTGCCATGAGTAGGCAAGTAAGATCCTTAAGGAAATATATATATATATATATAATATATACTATATATATATATATATATATTTCACACGTGAACTTTGTAAAAACATTCCAAATCACGATGCCTCAATCGTTAAATTTAATTAATCTGTAAGAATATTTTATTTTTTTTATAATTAAATTATTAACGGTGAAATAGGCTGTCGAGCAATAAAAAAAAAAATAAATAATATTCATGAATATAATTCTGAACTTGGAATTATTCAATAAATAAAAATTGTAAAAATTTGAGTATTTAACCGTCTTGTCAAAAGTTGGTATATTCATTCATGAAATTTATCCAACTTGAGCATTTCAATTTTATATATTCACACGTGAACTTTGTAAAAACATTCCAATCACGATCCTCAATCTTAAATTTAATTAATCTGTAAATATTTTATTTTTTATAATTAAATATTAACGGTTAAATAGCTGTCGAGCAATAAAAAAAATATAAATAATATTCAATGAATATAATTCTGTAACTTGGAATATTCAATAAATAAAAATTTTAAAAATTTGAGTATTTAACCGTCTTGTTAAAAGTTGAGTATATCATTCATGAAATTATTCAACTTGAGCATTCAATTTTATATCAGAACAAATAAATAAATAAATAATTGAAGCTAAGTTTTGCTAAATTTATTCACATAAAAACTGTAATCACTAAATTAGGCTGTTTAAAAATTCTATCAAAAAAGAAAAAGATGCTTTGAAAAAAATTCATGATGATGGGCCAAAACTTTTTTTTCTCTCTCTCTTCTTTTTAATATTTACCAAATAGTATAAATATTAAATTGCAATTTCTAATTCTATTGCTTTAAATTATGTTTGATATAAAAATAATTCTCAAAGTTAAACTCGTCATAAAATAAAAAATCCCTAATTCTAATTAGGGTCTGTTTAGTTCAACGGTTCATACCAACTAATAGCTGATAGCAGTTACTGATAGCTGATAGTTGATAACGGTTAGCTGAATATTATTTGTGTTTGGTGCTAATTCATGATCGAATGTTTCTATGGAGCAGAACATATTAATTGTTGTCATGGATTTAGTGTTATCAACTATGACTTGGGCAAGGTTTTTTGTAGGATTTCATAATCCATCTTTGATAAGAACAATTATGCACATGGACTTTATATTGTTGATAATCCCAACGAAAAGTGTCAGTATGGTCTATCTGTTGAGAATGATGATTGGTCATTTGTGATGGGTGTTACTTAATTGTTGTAAGTGTATGAAAATTAAGTTAGACATTATACTCTATATTTGAGCATTTCAATTTGATACTCGAACTAATTCACCCTACACACTGAGGATGTTATTTTTTCCCGCTGATAGGAAAATGGAGAACGGGCCTGGTTAATTTTATTTAATAAACTAATTTTTTTATTAGATTCATTCATTAATTTTTGAAAAAAGGTTCTCTTATTTTGATAAGAGTTTTATTAGTCTATTCTTTGAAATCGACTAACTCAGTTTTAAATCAGAGACTGTGTAAGGGAGTTAGGTACGGCTTCGAAAAGATATTAGGCACCCGAACCGCCCGTTTAAACCAATCTCCTTTTTGTCCATTAATTCACGATGATTAATAATAGAATTAACTCCAATTGAGATGTGAAATCAGTTTTAATGCAATTTTGAAAATCATGTCAATCATGCATACAATTCCATCCACAAAACATGAAATAAACCTTCCAAAGAAGGGAGGTGAGGAGAAAAGAGTACAAACATCATCTTCCCTTGTTTCAAGTAAAGATAGTAATGATGATATTCTTCAATCAATAATAGTAAAAAGTAAAACTAACAAAAAAGAAAAAGGAAAAGCAAAGTTAAAACATAAAAGCAAAGTGAAAAGAAAAGAAAAGAAAAAGAAGGACACTTCGTCCTCATCTAATTAAAAGGCAGAAGGAACCTTATTCCTTCACGTGTCCCTATAGTAAAAGGCAAACTCTAATGGCCGACCAAGCGCTATTTCTCTACAGTAAAATTCCGTGGTAGACAGAGCAATGTGTATCAACAGTAAAAGAAAACAAGAACAATTCTTTGTTTTTCTATATAAAGGGAGCCTCTCCCCTTGTGGAGGAATAAGTTTAGTTTTAGTTATTAACCATAATCCCTCTCTCCTTCTTCGGTCCTAGTTCAAGCTGTAAGCATTCAAGTTGGAGAAAGTCTAAATCTAAAACTCTTGTAAGTTTTAAATCTTGTATTTATATTTTGTAAGTAAATAAAGTTTATATGCACTTTAAGCAAAAATGCTTAAGGTTTAACTCGACTGGATCCCGAAATCAAAGCATATTTGATAATTTTAAGTTGTTGAGATTCTGAAATGAAGGTCCGTGTGCCATTAGAAGTGGCGCATGGATCTTTTGCCCTGATAAAAAAACTCAAGAAAAGAGCTTTAGAAGCTGTTCGAGGAGAAGTGGCTCGAGGCACTACTAGTGTCGTGCGCCACTAGCGCAGTGGCATGCGCCACTAGGTCTGTGGCTCGAGCCGCTGCGTGTGGCTTGTGCCACTACTACACAGAAAGCTCTTTTCTTGGTTGATCACGAGTTTCCCTTACAACCAGACTTAAAAGAGGTGTTGTTTGAACACTAAAAGAAAGAAAAGGATGGAGAAGAAGGTTTAGATTCTCAGTTTACCTTGTTTTGAAGAAAAACTTGAGATTAGATTGAAAATGGCAAGAAACACCCAAGAAACTAAAAAGAAAGAAAAGGTGGAGAGAGAAGGTTTAGATTCTCAGTTTACCTTTGTTTGAAGAAAAACTTGAGATTAGATTGAAAATGGCAAGAAACCACCAAGAACTTTTTCTTTTGATCAAGATCCGAGTTTTGTGGGAAGAAAAACTTGAGATTAGATTGAAAATGGCAAGAAACACCCAAGAACTTTTTTCTTTGATCAATAATCCGAGTTTTGTTGGATTGATTAGTGTTTTGAGAAAGGTTGATTGCAAACTCACTGAAGTTCTTTGATGGAAAACTATTCTCTCTTACCTTAATCTATAAAACTTGTTATAGATTTAGGTTAAGGGAGTTTTAAGAAATAAACTTGCAAGAATTTTTTTAAGCAACCAAACTTCCTTCTCTTCACATTTCCCAAGGCCTCCATTTATGGGCAAATGGGGAATGTTGCCCTAATTTTTAAGGTTTAGGTGGCAAGTGCCACTGGTGGGCCCCAAAAACGGGCTGGGCCATATTTTCAGGAAATGAGTTCTGGTGGCACACAGAATGAGGTAGTGCACCGGGACGCGTTACGGGCATACCGGAGACGTGTTTTCGAACCCTGTTTCAATGTGAATCCTGAAAACATGAAAATGACCCGATATGTTACATTTCTTAAACTCGAATCATTTGTCCGAGAATTAAATTCATCGAATGTCTCAAACTCATTTTATCACAAAAATGGTTATCATCACTGAGTCCTTTTGGGAAAAAAATTGAGCATCTACACACACAAAGGTATATATACAATTGCACTATATATTGATTAACAATTGAGTAGATGTAAAAAGTTACTCCTCATGTTGCCAATCAATCATATAAACGATGTTAAACTTAGATTGCAGTTAGTCTAATATGACGAGATTGGGGATTAGGGATTCATAGTCACTGAGAAGAGAACAATATGGGGCCCAAAGGAGTAGACAAATAAGAGAGAGAGAGAGAGAGATGAGTAATGTTTTTCTAAAATGAGCATTGAAACCCATGCTACATATTGGGCCGTGGTGTTTAAGACAACACTTTTGAAAAAACTCTATTCGTAAATTTCAAGCACGGTCCATTAAATTGACTATTAAGTTTGTTCTTTTGTTTTAGTTGAAATTATTGAAATGAATTTGTGAGCCATGCGTGGTTAATGAAGCTCCTTCGGACAAACTTTATACATTTGAATTTAGCATGGAAAATTTGGTTTGGAAATTTAAATGATCCAGCATAAACTTAAGCTAGTTGAAGAAGCCCATTTGGAAAATGTTTATGGTTTTCTATGGGCTGGATCAATAAATTGGACACTTAACTATTTTAAAACATAAGGGAAATTGTTTTAATTATCGTTATGGTAGTTAATTGATTTGGACTGGACCAATCAAAAATCATTTTAAGGTAATGTTATTATTTAAAGTTGGGAACTAAAATATTCAAAAGAAAAAACACAAAATTTAGCAAGAGAAATTTGG